GGTCTGATTTTCTCACCCAATAAAGGAATATTTCATATATCAGTCTACTCTTCATTCTATCAGACACAGTTATCACAGCTCCTACATTTGCTGTTTACACATGTATGTAAGCATTGAGCCAAATTCAGTACCAACATATTAAAAGAACAATATTTGTCTCTTATATATAACACATCTGTATACACACTGTCACAGATACTTGTCTTTGAGTGAAGATTTAAGGTGACAGGAAATATAAATAACTGCAAGTTGAATCTGTACTGAGGCTCAGTGTTTGGCACAGTTCAAGCTCACTGCTGTAATAACTAATAATGGTGAAAATGATAACTTTAATATATTCGCCATATTATATTTATGTTACCAAGGTGAGATGAGTCTCATGAACAACATTAGCTAGTAAACAGCTAATCTTAAAACTACAGTTGGATACAGAAATGAAGCCCAACAATCATGTTTTACAGCATCGGGCTCTCAGCCTCAGATACTTATCAAATCAAAACATCTCATAAAAACAAACAAACCAACAAACAAGTCTTCTTGTTAAGCTTGTGTGTCCTGAGTCTGAGTTTCGCTCTGTGTGTTTCCTGTTTTATTTTGATAGTCCTTGTTCGACGTCAGTGTTTCCACTTTAGCCAAGATAAAGCTGCCTCTTTCAGTTCACCCTGGTGTCTGTGAGTCCTGCGTTTGGGTCCAATCCTGTCTGCCACACAGCAAATCACAACACTGCCGATCATATTCTCACTTGTTACATGGACATTTTTAGCAGCAGCAAAACGTAGTTTGTACATTTCTAAATGTAAGATGGCGTCGCATGAACAACACGAGGCTCAGTGTCCCTCCAGAATCTGCCATTTAGCGGGTTGTTTTAATCTATTTTTGACCGGATTCTTCATCCAGAATTGCTGTGCGTTGCTGACCTACAGCAGACAAGACCTTCTGGACATTTGGACTCCAACAGTTTTATCGCCGATCTCAGACTCATCCCAGAGATCTCCAGAACACCAGAGGTTGGTTGAACAACAGCTGCCCGGACAATATGCTACTGAGTTAGCAGGACGCTACACACACCGAGCCGACAGGCTAGCAGATGACTCCGGCAAGACCAGAGGTGGAGTTTTGTGCACTTAAGAAAAAAAAGAGCCGTCACGTGCTAAAAAATAAACCTTGGACTCAAACTTTGAAAGAAAATGGTGGCCGTTACAACTTATGTCTAAAGGCTGGAGCCGAACAACAACTCCCTGATAATGACTGTTTTGACTGTTCTTCCTGTAGCCCAGCATGAGCAGAGGTCTCTTTTTCTCCTCTTGTACTTTCCCATTGTAGTGTACATTTCAGTGTTTTCCTGTAATGCAACCATTCTCCGACTTGTATCCCCATGTGATGTCTGTGTTGTGTGTGTAAGGTCGGGGGTGGGTTCATTCCACTGCAGGGCAACCTGCATGTGGCAAATAAAATTTGAACTTGAACTTGAAAATGTATCGTTTCATGCATCGGTTAAAACACTGGAGTCCAAGTAAAGGACGCCCGGCTGGAAAAACTTCACGCAAGTCGAGCTGCCCGAGATTCACAGAATTTACAGAAAATATTAAATTTTTGTGATTTATACCGTTGTCAGGACGATCGTGGCTCAAGAGTTGGGAGTTCGTCTTGTAATCAGAAGGTTGCTGGTTCGAGCCCCGGCTCCGACAGTCTCGGTCGTTGTGTCCTTGGGCAAGACACTTCACCCGTTGCCTACTGGTGG